ATATAAGTGTTTCTCATTTGTTGAAGGTTTTTAGACATAAGTTTAGAATACAAAATTCCTAAATTTTTTATATTTTTTACTTTTTTACTGCAATTATATAAACATTTTTATATCAAAAAAATTTGTCTTACGTACATTTAAACTATTTATATAATAAATTAATTAGAGTTTATATTAAATAATCAATTTTTAATATGTCCTTCAAAACCTTATTATAATATGTCCACGGTAAAAATATATTATAATTGCCATTCATAACAAGTCCCATTTAAATTTAAAAGAAACATTATAAATAAGTTGAAAAAAAATTTTAAACTCTAAAAGTAAAAATGTAAGTAATATACAGAATATTTTACAAATAAATCAGTTGCAACACCGAAAAACAAAAATCTACAACATAAATTATTTGGTGTAGTCATGTAGTATACTTTAAAATCTTAAAACTGCTCTCCTGTTAAATTTAGTATTTGGGACATACAACTTTTGGCCTCTTAGCCATCGAATTATGGTAGGTATATATCATAATAAAAATTCATTCTGGATGGTTTTTCAAATATAGTAGATCAATAAATATATACGAAATCATTATAGATACCTTAGAGATAAGGTAACTATAGACTAAATTATAATTGTTGACGCTGTCGGTGCGGATAATCAGATGCTTTGGAGTATTTTTAAAATTAATACCCGAAGGAATGACAAGGTCGAGTAGAAATTTCTTGAGCTTGTTAAATTCGTGACCACCACTTAAATAAAAGGGAGGTGCAAAATAAAAATGTTTACTTGGCAAGGATTCCACGTGACTGAGTGATGTGTTGTACTGGACTTTGGAAGGTGTTGTGATGGTAATCGGAAAAAAAATCTCCCGGAAAAAAAATCCCCCGACGAACAACCCTGGAAAAAAATCCCCGACCCTAGGAAAAAAAATTCCCAGCTACAATATTACTGACAATCACATGCAAATGGTTGAACAAATATATTTTGAACGTTAATTAGTATCTATAATTAATATTTAATGACAAATACGTATATTAAATTCTATTATAATATAATATACTGAAAAAAAATTATAAAAATATTTATAATGATCGATACGTCAATTAATATTACAGTTAAAAACATAGTATACAAAAATATTATACAAAATATAGGTACCTATATATTTTATGTAGGTATAATTCTATAAAAATTGAATTCCCGAAATAAAATATTGCGTTTTCTGTGACATTTTGACGATAAGCGGTTTAGTATGTACCTTTGATAATATATAATATAAGGTAAAGTTAGTTATTTAATTTGAATTACTCATAATATATTATCGTAATTTAAAACAAAATATTATTTATAATATATAATTTTTTTAATAGAATATAATATACGTATTTGTAATTAAATAATAATTATAGATACTAATAATTAACGTTTAAAAAATATTTGTTCAACCATTTGCAAGAGGTTGTGAGTAATATTGTAGTCTGGGGATTTTTTTCCGGCGTTGTTCGTCGGGGGATTTTTATTCCGGGATTCGTTGTGGTAGAGGGAGGGCTAAACACCTTCTGATCGAAAGCATTGTCCTCGGAGAGTGAAGCATAGCGATTTGGTGTGATGAATACTTTACTTTCCGTTAGATTTTGTAGGTGAAGATGATGATGATGAAGATAGATTGCGTTTCGGGGTCTTCCGAGACATGTTTTGATTAACAATATTAAGTTTGACTCATTAGTGTAGTGCGAAAAACGATGACGACGTCTGTTCATGTTGGGCGATAAACTTGAACTGCACTATAGATACTTATAGTTTGAACTTTGATTAGGAACATAACATAAAAAAAAACAAACGTTTTTTGGTATAATAATAGGTTATATCAGCTAATATGTATACCTGCCTATGTATAAACAGGCCCTTTTTGACAGCCGTAAGTCATAACATAAGAAAGAGGCGTGTACCTAATTATAATATTACATTTTTATTTTTATAGCATTATTATTATAATTAAATAAGTACTATAATTGTATTTATATTATTGACTATTGTATTAAATTTTATTATTTTGGACTTGGATTAAATTAAATTTTATTATATTTTAATATGTGATTTAAGTAAGTAATTATTTTTTACATTTTTTATGACATTATATGATTTTTTATATAACCAATGTAATTTTCAATACAATTTTAACATATTTTTACACGGTTTTGATATATTTTTATTCATTTTTATTAGACTTTTTTTCCTAGTGTGGGACTTTTTTTATACGATTCGTTTTATTTAATATAGGTATAGTTAATACATAGATATTAGTTTTTTTAAGTTTTGGTTGATATTTTGTTAACACATATTCAAAGTTTAACTGTAAACTATTTATATATTTAAAGATGAATATTTGTTACTCATAAATATTTTAGTCACAATTCACAAACAATGTTTATAAAATCTTTTTAATTATTTAACAAAATATGGCATGTCGTACTTTCCCCATAAATAATGTCGCACATTGTATAGAACTTTACACGGGGGAAGTGCATAATCGCCTAATACTCATTTGTATCATACAATTAGCATAAACCATAAATGAAATAGTGTTATAAGTATAAAATAACATTTATTTACCTAATTTGAAATTATTTTGATCAATTTAGGGGGGTTAACTAGACCGTTGAATTATCGTCGATTTAAAAAAAATACGAGTAAATAACTGATTAGCTCCTTGGTTAGTAATAACTACTGTGTCTGATAATATCCTTAAGTGTAACCAACATTATACAACATTGGGTTACTATTAAACTTCGTAATCTTCATGAAATCAACTTTATAATTGAAACATTGAAATTTTTATTACCCGATTGGGCACTAGCCCCGTTAAGTTCTTACCCCACCTGAACTTATACATCGTTACGATTCTTCATATTAAAATATTTATTTACGATAGTGATACCTATTAAGATAATTACTTATTGTATAAGTGCAGTTTAATATAGATTCATATTATCCAAAATATATACTACCAAAAGATTAAGATTACCCTTTTATTTTTAAATTGTACTTGGAAATATATTTTAATTATTGATTTGTATTAGCACCGTCGACCGAGTGATCTATAACTTGCTTCTCTAACTAACTTTTTTATAAATCGCGGTAAAAAAGTCCGGGTAAAAAAGTCCGAGGCATGAAAAGTCCGCCGTAGATAAGCCCTAAGCCTAAAAATACCCGAGTAAAAAATTCCGGAATATTATGTTATATATATAACAATATTTATAATAATTAATTCAAAAATAAATTCAATGATTATAATAATATACTTAGTATCATCACCTAAAAAAAAAAAATCGAAATAATTACCACACAAAAATAAAATATAAATTATATATATACAATACATTATAATGATAATGATTTCTTAATTAAATTGAGTATTTATTAACCATGGTCATACAGAATATTATATATTTAAAAAAAAAAATCAGTGATTATAATAATTATGTGGGTACTTACTACTTACCTAGTTGTAGTATCATTACCTATATAAAAAAATCGAAATTATATATTAAATTTAATTTTAACTAAATTAACTTTATAAAAAATGTAAGCGCCGCGCAAATTACATTAATGTTTTTAGCCATTACTAAAAATAATATATTCCTTAGGGCTTAGGGCTCACATCAGATCAATGAGCTATTATTATTATTATTTACTAATTGATTATATACTTATTTGGTACCTACTTACAAGTTACAACGTAACAGATATTATCTATTTTATTGAAAAAATATTTAAATATGAAATACGTACCTACTTGTAGCCGCCGCCGTCGTTCGGTAATGAAATACAAACATGCGAAGTAAACGATTATACGACAATTGCCAACAAAGCAAAAATTCAAATAGATTATTAATAGCTACCTATAGAAATAGAAATTTATTGGAGAATGATGTGCATCGTCAATTTCTCGCAATGTTTTTCGAGAATTATTGTTGTTTAGGTACCTACTTGGTAGTTGGTACATACAATGCATGGAAAAGTTTAGGTACACAGCGGCGGCGGGTTTGAGCGTTCGCCAACGATAATTATTATTTAAGTATTACCTATAGCTAATTTTAAACTATATTTTCATATAAATATTTTGTTCACGGGATAAAACCATGTCCGCAAAAGTATACATAAATCGGGGTCAGCTAATATGACGTAAGAGTTTTTAGTTTTTTTTTGGAGAGGTTCTGGGGGGGTTCTCCGCCCACGCAAATACGAAACTGGTTGTTCATATATGTATATTATAAATACGGAAAATAGCGAACGTCAATTAGTGATAATAATTTACAACTTCGAAACTAATGATTTGGGAGAATTTTTTTTTTGTTGTACCATAGTTTTCAAAACGTCAATCAACTTTCAAGGAAAAAAATATGCGGGTAACTTAAGTGAAATTCAGCGACGTAGCCAGGGCCGAGGCAGCCCATCCCGAAATGTTAAGAAAATTAAAAAATTATTTTAATGGTCTATGACGGTCGGTCGAAAAGTCTTAAATTGTATTTAAAATATTTAAAAATGTACTATATGTTATAAGCGTTGACACTTTCAGGCAGTCTATTTGTGATAGTACCTACGTCTTTAATGTGTAAAAGCGTACAACTCGATCAGCCTCCCCCCCCTCAACCCGAAAAGAAATCATGGCCACTGGTGAAATAATTGTGCCCAAACCGTGATAGACATTTCATGTATCCTGTGATAATAATATTGTAAAAATCTAACACGTAGTCTGACTAGGAGCGCTCGGCGGTTAATGGAACTACGGCGTAACAACGAGTTCTGCCGGGAACGCGTAACCATGTTGGCCTCAGTTGTTGTCTACGATCGTGTTTAAACCGTGGTTGGCAACAATAACCGTTATCGTTAATATATTTTATTAAAATACATATTATTTTCATTCGGTCGTTTTCTCGTAGTTTCGCTCCGCAGTTGTTGGCCTACTCGCGACGAATTATAATATTATATTATAATTTATCATGCGTCCTCAAGCGGCTCAAGCAGTGATTTCCTCTGACGACGAATTCGAACTGGACGTCATTGGTAACATCGATTCCGACGCAAGTAGCAGTGAATCGGAGGAGGATTCCGACCAAGTAAGACACGACAAATAAGAATCTATTAATTCATCAATAGAAATTATATTATATAAATAATCATTAATACACTTCCTTTTCGCAAGAATCGGGAGTCCTACATTTTTCATAAACAACATATAATTTAATTCACTCCGTAACATTTTTACAACATAATATTATGATATATTCAATTTTAGGACGAGGAAGATGAACCGGTTGTGAAAAAATTACGTAAACTCACTAAGGCTCAACGACATGAACTACAAAAAATAAAGGAAGACGCAGAAAAAATCTTTGACGAAGAAAAAATTCCCATTGCAGCAGATCCACAAAACCCTGATCACTTTGAGCGATTATTGTTGTCTAATCCCAACAGCTCGTTTATTTGGACTAAATACATGGCTCTCCATGCAAATGTAATAATTAATTTCATTTTAAAATAACTAAAAGTTTTAATTTTTTCCATGGTGCTACGATTTTGTAGCATTGTAGTCTATAACTCATGATTTACACGTCTTGTACAATTATTATAAAACCTCATTATTATTTTTCTTACATTAGTCCCTGTTTAATTAAAATAATTGTGAAAATGTGCATGCCATTGTGAATTGTGATTAAGTATATTGTTATTTACAGGCTAGAGATTTTGAAAAAGCAAGGGAAGTAGGAAAAAGAGCAGCGTCTGCAATCAATACTAGAGAAGAGCAAGAAAAACTAATTGTTTGGACTACACTTTTCGAGTTTGAAGAAGTATATGGCACCAAGGTAAAAAGATTAAAAATGTGGTTTATTTTAAAATTGAATTACTTTTAACTGAATTGGTTATTAAATATTCAGCGTTATACTAATTATAACTGCTACATATTGGAGAGAAAATTGGGTAGACATATCTTCATTCCTAGATATTTGAAATGTTGATATGTTCCTCTGCGCTTTGAAAATAAATTTTATAATAATTCATTAATATTTTTTCTTTATATATTATTATCATGTTAATAGTTAAAAACAAATAAAATAATAACATTTATTATATTTTAGGAATCATTTAAACAAACAATGAATGAAGCATTACTTTCAAATAGTGAATATAAGATTGCTTGTTTAATATTGGAGATGTGCGTAAATTTGAAAAGAATAAAAGTACAGTTTGATAATAATTAATAACAATTCTTTTGGTGCTTTTTGTTATTTCCCAACCACTGTGCCGTTTAAAAAAAAAACTCTGACACACGGTCAGTCTATTGTACTATATGTTTTATATACCGCTACAGAACTAAAAGTAAATAATAATAATAAATTGTTTACAATTAATAGTTGCATAGTTAATATTTTTTTAATGTCTCATAATTACATGTAAGCAAATTAAACAGTTTTATAAAGATTCTTGAATGTCTGAAATTTTGTTTTAACAATATATTTTTGTGTTCACAATTTTATGCCAGTATTGAGTATTGCAGAAATAACTAAATAACTCTTTGAAATTATTTTTTAACAATATTCTATAATAAGCTTATAACGTTTATAAGATATGTATCGACTTATATAGTTATACATACCTACAATTTAACCACAAGTAGTATTTACCCTTTTCCATAAATAATTCACATACTAACTTAAAAGTAAGATAACATAGAAATATAGAGAAATATTGAAATTTTAGATTAGCTAAAGTCTGGTGGCGGGGTGATAAATTCTATACAGCTCAGGGGCAAGGCAATAACAAACAAGCACCTAGTTCTATAGTTGACTTTATTTTGAATGATTTTTTTTCATTTAGGGACTAGAACATTCCATTAAAAAAAGAAAGAAAGAGTTTAGTGATTCTATTGATGCATATCTACAATGCGTTTTGGTGTACTTCACACTAAGAAAAACTGCCAAAGCAAGATTACTTTTACAAAAAGCATTATCAAATCTTCCAACCAAATCACGTATGTTAACTTATATATTAAATAGCAATATAGTAAAATTCTTAAATCACAAAATCCTATAATAAATAAAAACAAAAAAAGACACATACGAAATTTCATTTAGTGGGTAAGGAACAGTGGTGAACTTAAAAGTTTTGTCAAAGGCTAGTCTAGTATTTCACCCACCCTGCAGCACCAATAGCCCGATAAAGACATTCATTATCATATTATGAGGACGCGATATCCGCATGTGTTGTCCCGTCTTACAAGTGCGTAACATAGCATATTTTATGCTCAGCAGAACACGTGTAACTCATTATAAAAAAGTTTTAAACATTTAAAAATAAGAGTAATTTGACTTTTATAAAATCTAAAGGTAAGATAGATAGGCATTTTATTATGTTTTAATTTTAAAGCAAGTTAAGTATTTTAAAGTTGTAGATTGTTTGTACATCTTTAAAAACTCACAACTCACATTAAAATTAAAATATAATAAAAAGCCCATGAGGTTGTCTAGATAATAATCTAACCTTTAGATTTTATAAGAGGTCAATTCACTCTAATTTTTAAACTAATGAAGCTACGCGTGCTCTGATGAGCATATAATTTGCTGTTACGTATTTGTAAAACGGACTACACATGCATGCAGCACGTCCTCTTAATTATAACTACTACTACCTGTTGTAGTTATTACTAAAATACTATAGTTAATACTAAATTATCAATTATTGGTCATTTTAACCATCCACCACCACTTAAGAAACTCAGAGGCCTCTTGATTGCCTCCTTTACCACGCCGTAAGGATCTCAAATAAAAATGAGATAATATTAAAATGTTTTCATGGTTTAAGTCGTTACAAAACATATTTTTACTTTTTGAATGACAACATACAATTTTAATTTCACATTCCAATGCAAAATACTTCTCTTAGTATTTTGATAGGTACATACAAATTAAATTTAAGAGGATTTATTTTTCTATTGTTCTCAAAAAAAAAAAAGACACTTGCCTTTAAATCCAAATCCTATTTATAAATAAAATGCCAATATTAAAAATGGACAAAAATTGCCTATAATATTGTTATTGTTGTGCAATACTATAATAATATATTAATTCAATTTATTTATAATTTTTTCTATTTAAAAGATGTCACTATGATAAGTGAATTTGCTTGGATGGAAAATAATCATGGATCGCCAGAGGAGGCTCAAACACTTTTTGAAGATATCCTAACTTGCTATCCTTCACGTATTGATATATGGAAATTATATGTAGATATGTTGATAAAATCTAACAAAATGGATTTGGCAAGGTAAGAACACTTTAGTTCTAACCAAGATATTATACCTCAAATGTCCATCATAGCTTGTTTAATAATAATATAAAATTAATTTTTATGATTTTAGACATGCATTTGAAAGAGCAGCAATACAACAACAAGTAGCACCAGAAAAGATGACAAGATTGTTTGCTAAGTGGATGATGTTTGAAGAAAAGTATGGAACTCCTGAATCTATCAGGAAGGTTCAAGAAAGCTTGTTTAATTATATTCAAACATAAAAAAGAATCTTGAACAGTTCATAATAAAAACAATAATATTTTAAGATTTAATTATTGTAATTGTTTTGTTATAAATATCTAGAACCTATAATAATCTTATGAATCTATTGTTTTTCTTACTATGTGTATGTAGGTATTTCATTCTCATGGCAATGCAATTGATAACCGTTGTATCTATTTAAAAAAAATAATTATCTTATCTCACAGACTCTTTAATACTTGGGTTATAACTTTATGAGTTTTGTTAAATTTCACAAAAATATTTACTGAATTTCTCACAGTATAAATTTGAAATATATTTTTTTTAATATGCATTCATACAAATGAACAACATGAAATTAGAGATGTTCCGGGTAGATTTTTTACCAACAAACTGGGTACCGAGTATTGGCCGAGTACCAATTTCGGTTAAAACCGCGTCCAGGGTACTATTCGAGTACTAATTTTTGTTAAAACCGAGTCTCGAGTACTGGTCGAGTAATAATTTTTGTTTAAGCCGAGTCTCAGGTACTGGTCGAGTAATAAATAATAATGTCTTTTAAAAGATAAAACCTAGTCGAAACTTGATGGAAATTATCTGTTAACTGATTGAATGTGTGTTTTGTATGATGGTTAAATTTTTTAGAAAGTTTTGCATAATATGTATCGCAAAAATTATATATTTTTGTTTGGTCGATTGCGGGGACACATTTTTTTTTAAAGTCAACTTTTAATTACACGCCAGGTAACGAGTATTGGTCGGGTACTGAATATGACATCGGGTATCCGGCTTGGACTCATTGGCCGGGTACCCGGAACACCTCTACATGAAATATAATATATAAAAAAAAGTACAATTCATAACTTTTATAACTGTCCATATTGTGATATGACAATATGTATTTTTGGTTTGTTGTTGGGAACAGTAGGAACATTTTCGATTGTTCTCATTACCAACAACCCATCAATGACATGGCCAAATACCACATGTTTTCCATCCAAAAAGTTGCAGTTGGCACAAGTAATAAAAAACTGACACCTGTTGGTATCTATACCACTGTTTGCCTATTGTGGAGAATCTAAAAAATAATTTATACATTTTATATAAAATTATAGTTTACAGTTACCATTGATAAAAGTCCAGGTGCATCATGGTTAAGTTTAAAATGTTCATCTAAAAATGTATCTGCTCCGTACGTAGTCATAACCGCAGTTCCATCACCCTAAATAATTAAGAATTGTTATACAAAAAATTGATTTTTGCAAATGAAGTATTTATTATTTAAAAATTGAAACTTACATTTACAAAATCACCACCGGCTATCTTGTTGCGCTCTACCCCAGATAGTGGTTTACCCGCGATTACAGGACACTTGTTCTATACGCTCTACTAGAGATGTGAGTTTGTATAATACAGCAGTATAAAACTGTATAGTGTATTATACACATGGTATAAAAAAAAATAAGGTGTTATTTTTAGTTATTAAAATGATTTAAGATAATTGATTAAGGAGGTATTACCCATTTTGATATGCAAATAATGAAGTAATAAGCATACTACAATACAATTATTGGCTTATTGCCATTTAATATTTATACAATTTTAGTAACTCAAATATTAATTTTTTAAAGGTTTCTGTATAGAATGGATCTCCTATAAAATACAGTACCTATGATTATAAAAATTAAAAATGTAAAATATAATTGTAATCATGTTTATTTAGCATTCAGGTGTTAAAAATGACTTAAATCAATTTATTGTACTATTATAATATTGTAAACTTAGGTACAATGTGATACTACCTATATCACTAAATAAGTATCAAGCTCTAAGTATAGTTTTCTATTTACTTCTATTTAAAAATTAAACATAAAAAAAAGGTGCTCTGCTGTACAGTAGGTTACAAGTGGGTCACTGCATAATGAATGGTATTAAATTTGAATTCAATGATATACTATCATTGTATAAGAAAAACGATTCTGAGCTGAGACAGTATGTCAGTCTAGGTATTTATTTTTGTAAATAACTGTATTATAAATAATAATTTTATTAATTGTTGAAAATTACAACAACAAAAAAGGTGCTCTGCTGTACAGTAGGTTACAAGTGGGTCACTGTATAGTGGATGGTATTAAATTTGAATTCAATGATATAATATCATTGAATAAGAAAAATGATTCTGAGCGGAGACGGTAGGTCAGTCTAGGTATAAGACATATGATATACCTACTAATCTAAGGTATTAAAAAATATTGACCTATAATAGGTAGGTACCTATAATAAATTCCAAATTAATCATATCAGTATATCACAATATCCATTAGGTACTTATAACGCGTTATACATCAACAACAAACCCCGATACTATCATAGATATATAATGGAGTACTTTAGAAGTTTCAAGTTCCCACGAATAATATTATACAACCACAACAAAATAACTAAAATAGTTATTCTAGGTTTTTTATTATGTAATTTCGTCCAAAGTTGAACTTAAAATGACAATAAAAATAAACTGTGATTTGCTTATGTAATTTTTAGATTTTTTGGTAACAGAATTAACTACATACGTGGAATCTTGTTTTAAATTTTCAATCCTTAGATATAAAAGTTGAACATTTTATAAATTTTTAACTAAAAAATAATTATTAAATTTTAAATTTGATAAATTTTGTCAAAATTCGATCTTTAAATGATTATAAAAAAACATTGTGCCTATGTATTTTTAATATTTTTCAACTGATATTGTAACAATATACCAGGAGCCTTGTATTAAATTTTTCCCTTTTTGGCCCAACAGGCAACAGATAAAACTTAATTGATATTTATAGAAAAAAAAACTAAAAAAATTGAAAACTGAAAATGTCCGTAAACAGCTCAAAAAGTCAAAATATTTTCAAAATTGAATGGTGTATAGGAAATGCTAATATAAACAGTTAGGTATTGGTTTTTTAATTACAACAAAATGAAGAAATTGCTACCTACATGAGAAATCGAGTGAATATCCAATGTTGTAAAAATTTGAATTTCAAACGCTCATAAAAATTTAATTTGACTTTCTTATAGACATTTTTTTTTTGATAAAGGTAGACAAACTTAATAGCAAGCTTGTATAACATTGCCATATCTCAGGTTTTAAAAGAAAAATTTTACGAATTCTTAACTCAAAATAATTTGCTAGTTTTCTTGATTTTTCCATATTTTAACAATTTTTGAACTTTAAATGCTTTAAAAAAAAAAAAATTGTGACTGAGCATTTTTCATATTTTTATCTACCTTTGAAACTATATACTAGGAGCCTTCCATTAAATTTTCAAGCTTTTTTAACCAACAAATAAAATTTTATTAATATTTCTAGAAAAAAAAAAAAAAAAAATGGAAAATGAAAATGTTCCTAAACAGTTCAAAACAAATCATAATATTTTGATAATGTTATCGTGTATAGAAAATGCAAATATAAACAACCAGTGAAAATTGCATGTATATACGTTTATTTGTTTTAGAGTACACCAAAAACCAAAATCAATTTTGTGTGAAAATTCCCGTTTTTCCTTAATTTGTATGTTGTTTTTCAAGGCACTTGTGAAAACTATTGGGAATTTTATAATTTGACCTCCCGAATGCACCAACTAGATTCACTTTCCCATCAAACAAGATACTGTTGAAGAAAACCGAAGCAGTTTTACTGCCCCAAACCGTGATAACAGACACAAAAAAAAAATAAAAATGAAAAATAAAATAAAACACACATCATTGTAAAATCAATACATTCATCGTTCCACTCAGAATCTAAAAAACTAACTTCTAACTTCTACAGTTCTACTCTTACTTACGTGTTAAGTTACTATTTTTACCAAACTAACTTCTATCAAACCAACTAAGTATATTAGACATTTGGTAAATTTCAGAAACTAACTTATACTCTAACTTGATTACTTTTTATATTAAAGTAACTTACCTTTAACTAGTTGAGAAAAGTGACTAACTGGCCCAATAAGTATTGAGTAAATTGTTATAATTTTCTTTTATTAATGACGCGGTTACCCCTATAACATTCAGTCTATAATATAGTTAGGTATATAATATTTTCTGTGAATATGCAATATTATGCATTATAATAACTTACTATTATTATAAATTATTATTTACTAAAATATATTTAATATTTCGTGGTTTTTTATATAATCAATTTTAAACATGTGGTTTGGGAAAAAATTAACTTTAAATGCAAATAAAATTAATTAACTCGTTAAGTTACTGAAAAACAAGGGGAAAAAAGTAACTGGTTAATTGACTTAGTTAAAAGTAACTTAACTTTAACTTATTAACTCGTTAATGCCCAGCCTTGGGTACAATACACCTACCATCTATAGGTACCTACTGGCTACTAAGTTATATTATAATATAGAATCGACAAAATCTGTTTTTACCCTAAATCCACATCGGTTTAGTTATACCTATGCGGTTTGCCCCAACTTATTCCCAAGCGCGATGTAGGAAGGAACTTCAGAAAAAACGGCTGTTCAATCATTATTTTACATTATTTTTACCTATGATCATTAATTATTTATACTAATTAATTTACGATTAATTTATTTATTTAGAATGGCACATTCAAGTATTGAACATTGTAAGGTATTTGACGTATTATTGCTCTTCGTCATTGTACCTAATGTACCTATCCAAAGTGCCGTGTTTCACAATTATTATATTATAAAATTAAGCAGGACGTCAAATTCACAGAAATGTGCATATAGGTACTGCTTATCCAATATGGACGTACCATAGTAAAGTTTAATAATTTAATGCTAAGATTTATATGCAATAAAAAATGGTAAAATTTTAATTTTATTTTTAACAAAGTTTAGTAATCAAGAATTAAAGTGATAAAAGTATAAAATGTATTTAAATAAAAGCATAATTATATTAGGACAACATTGCATCTTCACGTTTGGTGTTGGTGAAGGGGTGGGGCAGGGAGGTACATGGGTGTGCCGAGATGTTAATTTTGATAAGTGATTGACATAATTAATATGAAAATTACGAAATTAAATGGTTACGGAACCAAAACATTCGTTTTTCAGTTTTTTTGTTTAAATTTTGAGAAACTTTTTCTAACTTTCATCGACTGTATCTCGGTAGAATTTTGGTCTAAAAATAATTTTTACCAACCATAATTTAGAAAATTTAGTAGTCTACAACTTTGTTACAACCTATAGACCACAAAATATGATTAGTTTAGGAGATTTAAGTGAAAAACTGAAAAAAGTCGTCTGAAAGTTTTGGTGTTTTTGCAGCCCCCCTCCTAAGTTAGTACAGGGTCTTCGAGGTCGAAAACTTAGGATAGACATCTTAGAGTACCCCTAGACAACCTGTAAAAATGTCAAGAACTTCGGAATACTTTTAAGGTAAAAAGTGGATATCGATTGGACTATAACGACTAGTATCTAAATAAATTCATGATTCATGAACAACCACCTTCTACAATCTTATTATGATAAAATCTTATAATTTACTTAACAGTTTATAAATAGTCTATTTAAGATTACGACAACCAACTGTTCCTCCCCCTACAAACAACCTAAAAACAGCTAATGGTCAATGGTCATAGTTGACGGCCTTTAGCTCAAAAAAAAAAAAAAAACATTTACATTAATTTTAAAAATATTATCAAAACATTTTATAAATTGTAATATTTTTCGTAACCATGGATATTTATTTTTTTTACGATTTATTGATCTAAGTTGATTTGATTACCTACATCATTATTGTATATTGTTATGCCAGGGCTTGAAACCGCTCCCGAAGAAATAGGTTACCGGGTCCGATAGGACCCGGAAAATTTTTTGGAACCGGTTACCGGTTATCGAGGTTTTTAGAAATAATGATAATCATTTCCCGCTTACCGAAATAAATTGTATAAATGGGATTACCGATTATCTATTTGGAAGCGGTTTTAAATCTTCAAAATTACCGGTTACCTCACAAAACCGTTTTTTTTTTTTTTTTTTTTAATACCTACTCTATTTTTTTTCATCAAACTTAACATGTCATTTTTAAAACTATTCATGCATTTTGTTGTGGTATGACTGGAGATAAGAAGAGGCGTAAAAAAAAGATTAAAAATAACAACTACATAAAATTAGTAGGTATCTATATCTATTGTTCTTCTTTAAGATACATAAGAACTTAAAAATATAAAAC